AGGCTGAGGCGGGAGGATCGCTTGACACTGCAGTGAGCTGTGATCACAACACTGTACTCCAGACTAGGCTGAGGCGGGAGGATCGCTTGACACTGCAGTGAGCTGTGATCACAACACTGTACTCCAGACTAAGCAAAAGAGAAAGACCCCGTCTCTAAATGAAAAAGAAAGAAAGAAAAGAAATACACACTAATTTGTTCAGGAGAAGTGGGCATGAAAAGAAGGGAGGACAGAAATAAAATACAAGTGGAAGGAGGGATGAAGAGAATTGGTTAACGGGTACAAAAACAGAAGGAATAAATTCTAGTATTCGGTAGTACAGTAGGAAGACTATAGATAGTAATTTATTCTATATTTCAAAATAGGTAGAAGAATCACAATGTTCCAAAAACAAAGAAAAGATAAACATTTGAGATGGGTGTCCTAAATATCCTGATCATTACACATTGCATACATGTATCAAATTATCACACATATTCCCAAAATATGTACAACTGCTATATAGCAGAAAAAAGGGAAAGAAAGCAAAAGTGGGAACATACTGACAATTGGTGACTGAGTGAAGAGAACCAAGGTCTGAAATTATTTCACAAGAAAAAGTTAAAAGTTTTTTAAAAGATGAATTTATGATTTCTGCCCATAAAGATGTTATAATCTATTAGGAAATATAATACATTCTACTAACTTATAATGAAGAGTTTTGCAGAAGAAATATGATCAACTTTGGCAGAAGACATTGCTTTCATCAGGAATTACCGGAAAAAGTTTCACAGAGAAAGTGACCTGGGCTTTGAAGGATGGGGAAGAAAAGCAGTTTATATCACCTGAAAATGGTACATAGTGAATTCCTAAATATCTGAGAATATACTTTCCAGAGTAATCATGACCAAAAAAAAAAAAAGGAAAATTTGTGGAAATAAAATTACTGACACAGCTGTATCCCCATACTGGAAGGCAGTTGTTCTCTAGAACTACATAGTAACCAACTCAAACCACAATTGTATTCACAACCCTGCCCAAATCAGAGGTTTATAGGTAACTCGACTTGGTTATTTAGCCTCAAACAAGACTACGGTCTGATCAGCCTTACTTCCTACCTAACCATCCTGCACGACTGAGACCAAATTCATGTATAAAATCTGTTTCAGAACTCAAGAGCTTTGTGTGTTTGTTTTAACCAAGGCTGGGAAAAGTGATGGATTAAATCTGGCAAATAAGGCTAGTAGCTGAAGCAACGCCCTTAAAACTGGCCATTTGCAATTCAGCACTAGACTAACTCAAGGATCAAGGGGTGAGAAAAGATGTGAGGACACCAAGGAGCAGAGTAGTTTGGCTTCCACCTCAGGGGCTATGCCACCACAAGCACGAAGAGGAAAGGTGGTATATCTCCTCACCTAGAACAGGTCTGCTAGCCTGGCTGTCAGCTGGAGTTCTGAATCACAGAAGCTAAGGTGTGGCCCCTTCCATTCTGCTCATTCCTGTTAGAAGAGAACTGCCCTCAGCTTCACACCCTAACTCTCTTCCCGGGGTATTAGTAAGCACGTCCTCCTCTTGGATCATACATCTGCTTTGCCACCTTTAAAAGAGGACTACGACTGCAGGTAAAAGTAACACAGAGGATAACTGACTCATAAGTCACCTCTTAGTAAAAGAGATATCTTTCCAATTTGATCTTCCTTACCATCATAGTAACTGGCACACTCTGCCACCCTGGGCTAAGTGGAAAAGTATTAGGGGCTTTTATTTCCCTGTGGATTCTCCTTGTACTCCAGACATGTTATGTTTTCCTCATCTTTTTCTGCCCTGTGTCCTAAAAAATGAACCAGAACTTAGGAGGGAGGATCAAACACAGTTGCAGATATTGATAGTTCCCCGATCCCTGACCCCAACTCCAACAGCTAGTAAAGAAACCAAAGGATTCACAAACAAATCTGATGAGAGATGTGTTTGACTATAATCTTATTAACAGTAGGCCTATGTTTTACCCTGCAGGTCCTATAGTACCTAGCACATAAATATTTTTTGTGCTAGTAAATTTATTGGTGTTGATTAAATATTCCAGGCTGACATTGTCGACATACAACTCTAAGAAATGAGAAGTTATACTAAAGTCTTACTAAAAAACTATTCATTCGCTATGAGTACACATTTACAACTGAAGTACACGCTATTTGAATTATGAGAAATATCTTCCTCATTTCCGAAAATAAAAGTTCTTCCATGTTTGTAGATATAACAAATCTTACTTGCCTGTAGTGAAGTATATTCTACATTCACTAGAAAGATGATGGCAAATAACAGCTTTGGTAAGGATATTATACAAAAGACTGACCACCAAAATAACACATTTGCTGATTATTAGGTTATAAATGAATCCCCTCAAAACCTTATGTGACCTAATTCCCATCAGCCAAGGCAGTAAACAACCTGGAAGCAGGAAAAATGAAGTTGTGTATAGCCAGAAATGCTGAGAAACAGCTCTCATCAAATGCACTCTGTACCACTGATGTATGAAAAATGTTAAGCATCTTGGTGGAATCCTTTGTATGTACCATTTATAGGACTTTGAGGCTTTTTATTGTGGTTTGGAAGGGCAAAGCCAGTTTCTTCTGTCAATGAAACTGTTTTTGCTTTCAGTTTTGTTAACAATGGTTTAATGGCAATAAAAACTGCCCACAAAATACCTCCTTTCCACCAATAGTCCACAAACACCAAAAGATTTTGGGGCCAGGTGTGGTGGCTCACGCCTGTAATCCTAGCACTCTGGGAGGC